GGAATTGACTCGATGGCAGTGACATTTTTTTTTGATTGGTTATAATATATAATTATAAATTATTATTACACATGTGATTAATAAAAATTATTAATAGTGGAAACCATAGACTGTTGGGTTATACAGAGCAGGTTTTCATTCCAGTTCAAGTCCTTACCAACTGAAGATTTGAAGTACATGACTTAACCTCTCCAAGTCTCAGTTTACTGTTCTGTAAAATGGGGGTGATGGTCCCTGTCCTGTCTCCCTTTTGGAGAGGGCAAACCCTCCTTCACTAGTGTTTTGCCTCCACCCAAGGCCTTCATTAAAAGGCAGGATTTATTTTTATAATTTGTGTGTGTTGAGCACCTGAATGAAGGCATGAATGACGATGAGCCCTTTTGGGTGGGTTTGTCCAGCTCTGATTTGGCTGTCTCTGTGCCTCCCCTTTCCCACAGGTAAACCTGTACTCGGACCCACCCCAGCCCAGCCACAGTGTCCATATGGGAACAGTGTCTCAGGGGACAAAGGTCTTGTCCTTCACCATTCCACAGCCCCACACAGCCAAGTGGCAGGCAGGCACCATGGAGGCCCCTCAGGCCTCTGAAGCCACAGTGTCCATATGGGAACAGTGTCTCAGGGGACAAAGGTCTTGTCCTTCACCATTCCACAGCGCCACACAGCCAAGTGGCAGGCAGGCACCATGGAGGCCCCTCAGGCCTCTGACGTCTCAGGTGAGTCTGAGAGAGGAGACATGGCTGAGGGCTCTTCCTGACCCTGGGATGGCACTGGCTTCAGGTTGGGGGTAAGGTGAGGTGAGTCTCTTCTCTGGGCCCTTGGACTTGAAGACATCAAATAGAGAATGTGGAAAGTGTCCCACTCTGGGCCAGAGCAGCCTGATCAAGTCCTGGTTCTGCCACTTTCGCTGGGTAAGGTTGGGCGAGTTGCATAACAAAGAGCAGGGTCCTTTGCAGCCTTATTGTGGCTAGGCCCTGCACTAAGCCCTTGACAACCAAGCCTGTGTCAATCCCATATCAACCTGTGAGCTCCACACTGTTGTTACCTCATTGACAGTTAAGGAGACCAAGGCTCAGAAAGGTGGCATGTTGAAGGTCACACAGCCACTCCATGGAAGGACTGGGACCCGAACCTATGTCTTTCTGAGTTAAGCCCACACTATTGACCACAATACTGAGGTGGCTTGGTTTGGTGGGGGAAATAGAACCAAGAACCCAGAGGGTGGCATTGACTCCAGCTGTGTGATCCAGGGCAGGTGTATACCTTGTTCACACCTGTAAATGGGGGACACCACTCTGCCCTGCCCACTGCCTCTGGCAGATGTGAAGTTGGGGAGAGACTACTGAGCTATGACTTGATGGTGGAGGTGGTGGTTTTGACGTTAGGCGTTATCTTTCAGACATTGGAGAGATGTTGTTGACTCCAACCTTTGGTGGTTGTGTATTCCAGGGTGGCAGTCAGCCCAAGGAGACCTGAGTCCCTCCTCACCTGTCATCGTCCCCACCCCAGGGTGGCTTCCAGAGAACCAGGGTGTTGCCAAGAGCCAGCCTTCAGTGGAGCGGACCGAGGCACTGGCTTTGCAGGCCAGCCGGTTCCTGGCCAAGGTGAGTGGAATCCTGCTTTGCCTGTTAAAAGCGGAGCCTCTGCCTGCTTGAATGAGGCCAGCTTGTCTATTTCCAAGCCTTGGAATCGACTGGAGTTAACTCGGTCATTTGGGAAACATGAGCCCCTTGCCTGGTTTTCGAGGCCATGTGGCTCCAGCCTCCTCTTGTCACCCAGAGCTTTTGCTTTTGGCCTTGAGTGTCATCAGATCCATCCAGATGTGCTTGAAAGTGTCTCCTGATCTGCTCTCAAGGAGATTTCCAGCTCTTTCAGGATTCTGGAAGAGTAATGAGCCCTTCACCCTTCCTTCTGTCTTCAGGATATATCGCTCCACTTTCTCAATTCATTTCTTTAGAGAAATCAATTCTCAGTTATCTTTCAAAGGGACTTTAGATTTTCATCAAATTGAGTTGTTTGTCATCTGTTTATGTGTACACACTTGATTTTATTCCCAAAGTGCTTTAAAACATCTTATGAAAATACATGCATTACAACCACATTCTGGAAACGGAAGTGAGGAACTGGGGTAAAGGGGAAGTAAGGGTAGAAAAAATAGTGAACTGAGGATGAAATGAATAAACAAAATGTTCTGCTGGGCCCTGAACATTTAACCAGAGTTACAGAGTTGGCTTTGAGCTTCCTAGTTGTCGATGCAAAAAGGGAAATGTGATAGTTACATGTATCCCACGTCCATAGAACAAACTAATTCCTTCAGAGAAACACTACCATGTTTTTTATAACAGTTTTATTGAGGTATTATTCATAGACTAGACAATTTACTCACTTAAAATGTATGTTTCTTTGGTATTCATGAGTTGTGCAGCCATCTCCATAATCAATTTTAGAGTAGTTTCATCACCTGGAAAGAAACCCCATACTCATGAAGCAGTCCCTCCCCATAACACCCTCCCCCAGCTCTGGCAATCACTCATCTCCCTTCTGGCCCTTTGGGTTTGCCTGTTCTGGGCCTCTCATGTCAATGGGATCATGAAATGGCACAGGATGTGGCCTTTGGTATGTGGGTCCTTCACTGACCACAGTGTTTTCAGGCTTTGTCCATGTTGGAGCATGGGTCAGTGTGTCAGTCCTTTGCCTCACCACCGTCCTTGGTCTGGTAACTGAGAGCCATTTCTTCCTTCATCCTGTGTGTTGTCCTTAAAGTAAAGCAAAGCACAGTCATCGTATCACATTGGGTGGGAGCTGGGGCAGGCTCTGCTCTGCCTACCTGCTGACCCCTTGTAATTCAGAGCTATACCATCTGATTCGGGACCCACTGGCCACCTGCAGCTATCGAACACTTGACGTGTGGCTAGTCCAAATTGAGATGTACCATAAGTGTAAAATGCACCCTGGATTTCAAAGACTTAGTACAAAAAAAGTATGTAAAATATGTAATTTATAATTTATAGACTATGTGTTGAAATTATATTTCATGTTAAATAAAGTGTATTATAAATATATTACTAAAATTAATTTTACCCATTTCTTTTTAGATATTTACTGTGACTTCTAGAAAATTTTAAATTATACATGTAGCTCGTACTATATTTCTATTTACATTAGCACCTAAGTTCTTAGCTTCATAGCACCAGGGTTCCTTAATATATTATATAAATTATATGATATAATTATATATCATAAGCATAATCCATACAAATATATACTATGGTGTTATAAAAAAATACATCAATGTAATAGTAATATATATTATTTAATTATAAATATACTATGTAATATAATGTATATATTTATCTATCTGTAATATATATTAAGTTATTATATTATTTAATTTTATAATTAATTATAACATTCATCTAGAACTTTTCCTAGAAGTGACCCCAAATCATGCCTAGTCTTTTTTTTTTTTTAAGCTAAAAACAAATTTTTTAGAAAGTAATACACACAGATGGTAAAAACTCTCACATGGTACAAAGGGCGTATTCAGTAATAAATCACTGTTCTTTCCTACTCTTGCCTTTCTATCTCTCAGTGCTCTAAGATGCTCCCAATGTTATGAATGTTTTGAGCACTCAAGCAAAAATGTTTGATGCCCACCCATGCATTTATGGCAATGGTCACATAACTAGGTACACTATACTGTATCTTGTTTAATGTCTTAAATCGAAATATTGATGTTGGCACAGGCAATGCATTCACATGGTTTAAAGTTCAAAAGGAGCAGAGGACATACAAGCGAGAATCAACCTCCCATCTCTGTCCCCCAGACATCCAGCTTTCCTCCTGTTTCTTGTGCGTTCTCCTAGAAATAGTTCATCAGATTCGAGCAAATGCATTTATATTTTTATTCCCTATACATTTTTATGGGAGCTCTGGTAGTGTAGTGCCTACGGCATTTGACTGCTAACCAGAAGGCTGGTGGTTCAAACCCACCAGCCACTCCTCGGAAGGAAGATGGGGCAATCTACTTTCGTAGTGATACTGCCTCGGAAACCCAAGGAGGGGTCGCTATGAGTCGGGTCCGACTCGAGGGCACACAACAACAACATACATTTTATAGGAGCTCTGGTGGCATAGTGCCTAAGGCATTTGACTGCTAACCAGAAGGCTGGCAGTTCAAACCCACCAGCCACTCCTTGAAAGGAAGACTGGGCAATCTCCTTCCTCAGTGATACTGCCTCAGAAACCCAAGGAAGGGTCACTATGAGTCGAGTCTGACTCAACGGCAGTGAGTTTGGTGGGTTTTTTTTTTTTTTTTTGTTATACATTTTATACAAATGGTAGCATAATATACATACTGTTCAGTTCCTTGCTTTGAAACTGAAAAATGAATCTTGGAGATGCTGACATATCAGAACATACAGGTGTGCTGCCTCTTGTTAACAGCTGCACACTCTTCCACAGATGAGTGTTTAAGCTTTTTCCTGTCTCCCTCCAACCAATCTGCAGTAAGTATCCTGGCTCATAGGCCTAAAGGGACATGAGTGAATGTGCTTTGCTGTCCATAAATTCCTGGGGGTTCAACTTTAGAAAATCAGCCATTAAAAACCCCGTGGAGCACAGTTCTTCCCAGGGCTGGCTGCCCGTGGCCAGTGGCGGAGTCAATTCCCAGTACCAGCCTCTCTGTGGTTGAAAGACAACCCCTACCCCGAGGCCAGACCCAGCTCCAATGCTAAACTGTGGATGTGGCTGATTTTGGAGTCTGCAGGACCCGTCTTCCTGAGTCCAGGCTAACGGAGCGTGTTTCTTCCCCTCCCCACTTCCAGGTGGAGTCCTTTGAAGGCCTGGTACATGCGGGACAGCTCACACCACAGGACCAACTCAAGGTACTGCCCACTCAGGAGATGCCCACGGAGCTGCCAGACAACTGCTCTGCCTCCCGTAGCTGAGTCTCTAAAGCCTGGTTGGCTGTAAGACCAGAGAATCCCAGACACAGCGTCTCCTTTTACAACAAACAGCTCCTGCTTGGCTTCCTTAATAATGATCATTGTAGCACAATGTTGTTGTTGTTGGGTGCCATTGGGTCGGTTGCTGCTCACAATGAACCTGTGTGCAACAGAAGAGAACACTGCCCGGTCCTGTGCCACCCTCACACCCGTTGCTCTGTTTGAGCCTGGGGTGGTAGCCATTGTGCCAGTCCATCTTATTGAGGGTCTTCTTTTCTGCTGACTCTCTACTTTGCCAAGCATGACATCCAGGGGTTGGCCCCTTCTGACAACATGACCAAAGTACGAGAGATGAAGTCTGGGGTGGTTCGAACCCCCCCCCAGGGGCACCCCAGAAAAAAAGCCTGGTAATCTACTTCCAAAAAACCAGCCCCTGGAATCTTAGGGAGCACAGGTCCATTCTGTGGGGTCACCATGAGTGAGGATCAACTCCATGACAGCTGTTCTTTGCTTCTTTTCATAGTCATATGTAAAATGTAGGTTCCTGCCACATCACTTGGATCTCAGTAAGGAGTAGATGGCTCTCTCAAAGTGGGGTCTGCAGGGGATCAAAGGAAGGGAGGGTTCGCAGAGGTGTGAGCAGCGGCAGGGTTGCCAGTGTGGAATGGGAGGCCCCAGGAGTAGCAACCGCCAGAAGCTGTTTCCTCTCCCATTTTTCTCTCCTCCTACTCAGGATCTCCTGGGGGCTGTGCCCACTGGACAGACCTAATGGGAAGCCAGTGGTGGAGAGCCCAACTGATGCTCAACACACCAGGCAGGGTGGTGAGGAGAGGGGCTGAGAGAGGGGCTGGAGGGCAGGTGAAGAGTAACCAGCATACCTGTTTTGCAAACAAGTGTCATGAGTATTTTCCTACCTTATTTGTTGTTGTTGTTAGGTGTTGTTGAGTTGTCTGACTCATAGCGACCCTATGTACAACATCATGAAACACTGCCCATAGAGGTATCACTTATATTTTCATGTTTACAGGTGTGTATTGTTGTTGTTGTTGTTGTTATGTGCCGTTGAGTCGGACCTGACTCATAGCGACCCCTCCTTGGGTTTCCAAGGCAGTATCACTACGGAAGTAGATAGCCCCATCTTCCTTCCGAGGAGTGGCTGGTGGGTTTGAACCACCAGCCTTCTGGTTAACAGTCAAGTGCCTTAGGCACTACGCTACCAGAGCTCCCACAGGTGTGTGTAGTATTTGTCATATTCTATGAAGTAGGTTTGCTGTATTTTAAGTTGACAAAAATCACTCACTGCCCTCGAGTCAATTCCAATTCACTGCGACCTCCACTGGGTTTCCAGGGTTATAAATCTTTATGGAAGCATACTGACTCATCTTTCTTCTGAGGAATGGCTGGTGGGTTTGAACCACCAGCCTTCTGGTTAACAGTCTAGTGCCTTAGGCACTACGTTACCAGAGCTCCCACAGGTGTGTGTAGTATTTGTCATATTCTATGAAGTAGGTTTGCTGTATTTTAAGTTGACAAAAATCACTCACTGCCCTCGAGTCAATTCCAATTCATTGCGACCTCCACTGGGTTTCCAGGGTTATAAATCTTTATGGAAGCATACTGACTCATCTTTCTTCTGAGGAATGGCTGGTGGGTTTGAACCACTGGCCTTCTGATTAGCAGTCAAATGCTTTAATCATTGTACCACCAGAGCTCCTTTAGAGTTTACAAAAGGTCCTTGAAAATTAAAACCACTTATTTTCTTCTTCTCTATCCTAATTTCTCCATAACCAGGAAGCTGTTGAGGAGCTCTGGTGGCTTAGTGGTTAAAGCGTTCAGCTGCTAACCAAAAGCCTGGTGGTTTGAACCTACCAGCTGCTCCACAGAAGAAAGATGAGACAGTCCACTTCCGTAAAGATTTATAGCCTTGGAAACCCTAGGGGGCAGTTCTCCTCTATCCTTTGGGTTTTTATGAGTCAGAATCAACTTGTTTTTTGGGATTAGTAAGAGCTGTTGGAAGAGCGACTTGACTGAGGACTGGGTTCTAGGTTATCCTTAGCCTTGGGCTGTCCTCAGCATAGAATGAGTGGGATAGCAATGGAAGATGATAGCAAATCTGGGATAATGATCCCACCTTCCATAGTTTTCTTATCACATTTACTGTGAGGGGCCTAACATAAATGTTAAGACCATAAATTCTGGAGCCAGGGGACTGGGTTCATATCTTAGCTCTGCAACTTGTTTATTCACTGTGTAACCTTCCCCAACTTTGATAACCTCTCTGTGCCTCATTTTCTTCCTCTTTAAATGTAGATGGTAAATTAAGTGCTTTAGCCCAGATTCTCCATGTGCGGTGAATGTTAATTGCCATTAGCAATAGTGTGATGACATCATCTGTATTGAGAGTCTGTAAGAACTTGGGAAAAGAATGATTGTCTGCAGCCCACAGTTTTGCAAATCAAGAATAAGGATCCAGGGTCTCTCAAGTGCTAGGTCCTTATGAGGGCATAAGGGCATGTTTGACAGTGGGACTGTCTTGGAACATTGCTGTCCTTTTAAGTCTATGCAGGAAGGGAAGATCGCTTTGGACGCTGATGCCGAGCCTCTAAGCCACGTCTCTTCCGTGCTAGTCCAATGGCCGATGGTAGAGGGCTGCTTGGGAGAGAGCCAGGCAAGGGCAGGCTAGCTCCAGAGGTTCCTAACCCCAGCCTCTGTCTCCTAGGGACTCAGGAGGTCTCCGTAGACCGAGGGTGAGCCCCATGGCCCACTATGTCAGCAGGGACAGAGGTCATGGGGCCTGGGCACTCAGGTCCTCTGGCTTGGTCTGGTTGCAGGGCTTCCAGCGGCTGAAGGCTGCCCACACAGCTCTAGAAGAGGAGTACTTGAGGGCCTGCAGGGACCAGCACCTGGCCCAGCAGCCTGCCAGTTCCAAGGGGACGCCTGGGAAATTTGATCCTGGCAGGTACGTGCTGGGGAGGGAGGTCCAAAGGGCAGATGGGGCAGCTCCGGGGTTCCCTCGGTCACCAGGAGGGGGGCATCTTGCCCTTGTAATTCGTACACAGGGGACGGGGAGAAATCCTATCCCATGAGCAACATATCCAAATGGTGAGTACTAGGAAACTGAGAGATGTGTCCCTTTTCACTCACTGCAATGAGAAAGGACCTTGGAAATAAGAGCTATAACCCTTCGTTGGACAATGGGGAGACTGAGGCCAGAGGGAGAAGGTTTATTGAAGATCTCACAGCTCATTTGTGGCAGAGCAGGAACTCAGGTTGAAGGTCTCTGGTTGCCAGTGGAGGCCTCTTTCATCTTGTTTATTTCTAGTTCTCTACATGATATGAATGATGGCCCTGCGTGGGCCCCACAGGGGCATTCTTGTGGCAGCCTCAGCTCTGAAGCACAGCCTCCCAGCCCTGTGTGACATCCTGCCAGCCTCCCAGCCCTGTGTGACATCCTGCCATCTCAGGCTCCCAATGTGTATCTCCCCATTCCAGGGAGCTGGAGGCGGAGATATTCCAGCTAGGAATTCGCTTGGAAGAATTCAAGAACCACATGGATCAGTACCAGCAGGAGCCTGAGCAGACAGGGTCAGACCCGGCTCTGGATGGCCCTCCAGCCTTGCATTCCCCCAGCCAGCCAGGGGGCCTGCTTTCTCCTTCTGGACAAGCCCTCATGCCAGCCAGCCACACCTCCTACCCTGAGGTAATGCTTTGCTCAGCCATATTTGTTGGTTTCTCCATTCATTTCTTTATTAATTCACTTTTTCATTGAATATTTATGAAATGTGTACCATCCAGAGACTCCATAATGAATATAGTACATTTGAAGGAAAATAATGCTCATTTCAGATCGCATTATTACAGAGGGTATAATAATGCCAGGACCCAGACACATGGTGGGGAGTTAGTGGGAAACAAAAAGAAGGTGGTCTCTGCTCTACCTTCCATGAGGTTCCTGTCCTCCTCCATGAGGTTAGATGTAAGTAGTTACACAGTTATTATAGTGTGTGATTGGTGCACTGGCAGAGAATCTGGGGTTCTAAGGGGTAGGTAACAGGTAACAGGACTGAGTTTGGGGCTCAGAGAAGCTTTCCCTGAAGAAGTAACATTTGAGAACTAAAGAGTGGGTGGCAGTAGCTAGGATCAGAAGGGGAAAAACCACCTAAACAGTGTCAAAGGCCCTGCAGCTGGAGTGTGGAAGGTGAGGAACACAGTTGTCTGAGGTGCAACTGGAGAGGCAGACAGGCCCAGGATGTGGGGCTTTGTGGGTCACATCAAGGGTGTGGTTGCAAACTCTGCTGAGGTTTTCCACAGGGGAGTAACATAAGAGGATATGAAGGTAGACCAGTTAGAGGCGCTTGCTCTGACCTAGGGGAGGTGGCAAGGCAGATGGAGAGAGATGCATGAACTCGAGAGAGTTAGAAGGTACATTTGACTGGACTTGGAGTGGCAGCAAGAGGGAAGGGAGTCAAGGGTGACCTCCAGGCTTCCAGCTCTTAGAACTGGGTGGGTGACAGGGCTGTTCACAGAAATGGAAAACATTAGGCAAGGGTCACATGTGGAAGGGGCTCTGTATCCTGTCCAGCTTGAGTGACAGTTAGCATCTCGTTTTGCAGCTGAGCAGACTGAGCTTAGAGACATCACACAGCTGACAGTGGTGGGGCCTCTATGCCTCACTTGTCTGTGCTGCAGAGACTTGTCTGCTGTGGTTTGGAGCAGGAGGAAGGGCCTGCTGTGTCAGGTCGGGTGGGAAGCTGAGAGAGGGCTAAGTGTCTGCATAGGATCATGACAATGGGGTCTCAGAGGCCCAGGGATTTGGAGAAGATTCTCGCACTGTGCTCTGCCTCAGAGGGTATGAACACTCTTCAGGCAGTACCTCATGCCAAAAAGGGGTAAAAACTCAAGTGCATCACCTTGAGGGTCTTCCATGTTCCCCTTGAAGGTGCTTTTGGGGGCTAGAGTGGCCATATGGAAACAGAATGGGGGCAGGAGACATGTCTCTGCCAGGAGAGTTGGGTTTGACCATCAGCACTGCCACTCCTGCATGACTTTGTCTTTTGGCAAATCATGCTGCCCCGTTGAGCCTCAGTTACCTATCTGTATATTGGGTTGTGATAACAGCACATCTTGGTGGGATTTTTGTGGCATGATGTGTGTACAGTGCCTGGCACATAGTAGTTGCCCAGTTCACGGAAGCCAGTACAGAAGCTCACGTAGTTGAGTTCCCACATTTTTTGCACCTGTGAGAGGGAGGTGGCATTAGTGACTCTAATCTATTTCTCGTTTCTCAGCATCAGCAATCACCTGGCATGAGGCTGGTTCCTAAAAAGAGTTATTCAGATATTTACTGGATCTCTATCCTCTACCTTTGTGGTCCCCAGCCTGATGCTACTGGAGCCGGCTCCTGCTCTTCACACGTGGACGTGGAGGTGAGCTGCACCAGCAGTGAGGCGGAGGACGGACCACGGCAGCTGCCAGCCCCACTCAGGCACAAGGAGCTTCAGATGGAGCAAGATTTCCATGGCCTCCTGGAGCGGTGAGTGCCCCCAGGAGCAAAGCTGGCCTCCTTGGCCAGCGTGACCACATTTCATTGGCTACTGCTGGACAGAGGTCATGCTGTCTGTGTGTTCTTCTGCAGGTATATCAGTGTGAAGTCCCTGCCGGAAGCCAGGAGGGTCGAGGAGGAAGAGGAGGAGCAGGGACGTACCCTGGAAGTTGATGGGCCAGCCCCAGCTCCAGGGCAAGGAGAGGCCACCAAGCACAGCCCAAGGCAGCTCCCGGGACAGGCTGAGAGCACTCAGGGCACCCCCGTCAAGTATGTTACTGAACCTCCCCCGCTTGCCCCATGCCAAGCTGAGACCCAGGAGCCGGGCAGTAATCGTAGTGAGTGGAAAGCTCTCTACAGTTAGACATTCCCCACCTATCCTCAGCATCTCTCCACCATGTGGAAGATATATGACTGACAGTGCTTGAAATGGTTTGGGGTGATGTAGGACAGGCACAGCATTAAATGACATTATTCACCGTTGCAGCCTCAGCCCTTCTAATCACATCAAGGAGAAAGTCTCTGTTAGTGCTGTTATGCTTTACCGCCTCTCTCAATTTTCTTTTGGAAAGACAGAGTGTGGGCATGTGTGGGCAGGCCTGAGGCCAAAGTCTTCAGCAGGCAGCAGAATCCATCTAGAATATGATAATATTGTTTCCATATTTCTTATATATATTTTTAATCTTTTTAATTGTAAGTTTACATATATATAAGAAACAAAAAAAAATGTCATTTTCAACATTTGTTGGCATGTACCATTCAGTGACATTAATTATTCTCATCATAATCAGGACTATCCATTTCCCTATTTTGCCACCTCCCCTAATAGAAGCTTCGTGTCCCCCAAGGCTTGTATTTATTTTTAAGGTTATTATTTGTAACATGAAATACTGATGCATCTATAATGAAATCTTTTCAAGTAGGTTGGAGTTTATAGAGATGGCTGAAGTAGGGAGGATGGTACGCACATTCCAGAAGCCTGAGAAACACTGCGTTGGGTCATCTATCCTCACAGTATTTCCCTGTGGCATGTTGGGTGGGTTTTGTTGGCATACACATTATAGAGTTCAGAAAAAATGAGGCTCAGAGAAAGGAACTGTTGCCCAGGGTCACACAGCTAGATGGTGCAGAACCAGGATGGGCACCTGGTGTCTGACTTCACACTTGTGCCCTGCACTGCTTGGCTCCTGGGACAGGCTGACCCCAGCCTCAAGCCTTTCCAGCTCATGCTAGGGCTCAGGGTTGGCATACTTCTCTTTCCCTGCCAGGGAGACCATGGAACAGATGGTGCCTGTGAAGCCATCGGGCACCAGAGACGGGTGCCCACCAGGCCTGGGTAGGGCCGAGGCAGCCCCTCCACGGCCTGGCATGCTGCACCCGCCTCAAGGCAACAAGTCTGCGGCGTCCCACCAGAGCAGTATGACCAGCTTGGCGGGAAGTGGCATCTCTGAACGCCTTCCACAGAAGTCTTTCCACCAACCTGGCAGGCCCCACCCGGAGGTAGGTGTCCACATGGGGGCAGGGGGACTTAGGCTCAGAAGCTCAGGGCCACACCCCGATGGTCTGGAGCTTTCTGCCTCCAGCTCTTTGCTCATGCCATTCCTTCCTGGAATGCCTGCTGCTCACGTCCCTGCCTGCCATAATCCTGCTCATCATTCAGGCATTATACCTCACGCCACCTCTTTGCTGTGAGTCCCCACTCCCAACCCCGTCCCTCTGCCAGGATCTCTTGTTCCTTCTCCACACACTTGCCACCATTGCCTGGGCTTCTCTGAGCCTGCTTATCACAGCTCAATGGCTAGTTCTTGACTCTGCCCCTTTGGCGCCATTAGCGCCATAATTCTTAAGCTGTTGCAGGGGTCACAGGCCACCATAATGTGACATACTACAGATGCTTTCATAGAATAATGTGTGTCCATGCATGTATACACACACCCACATTCTGCCTGTAGTTTCAGGGGTCTAGGGACCTTCTGCAGCCCCAATGAGCCCACAGTAAGGGATCTCTGCACTCTCAAGGGCAGGCACTTGGTGTCATTCTGTTTGTGTCCTTTGTGCCTGGCGTTTGAGTGGTGCAAAGGTCAATGTGCTCGGCTGCTAGCTGAAAGGTTGGAGGTTCAAGTCCACCCAGTGTACCGAGGAAGAAAGGCCTGGAGATCTGTTTCTGAAAATCCAGCCGTTGAAAATCCTGTGGTGCACCGTTGTGTTCACCATTCTGCTCTGACACGGCTGGAGGCAGGATGTGCACGTGTTCGATGAATTGTCCTTTCCCAATACATTGGGTGAGGCATTTCTGCAGTCAGAAAAGGCGTGGCATTCCCAGCCCATGCCTGAAGACACTTGGAAACAAGACTCCTTTCTCCTCTTTCTATTCATTATCTCAGAATATCTGCTGCAGTCACTTCTCCCATTCTCCCAAGGTCTCTAGCCCCCGCTTCTCAGGGGAGAAGAGACTTACAGTGAGCTCAGGACTTGCTCAGTGCACGCTCTGGATGCGGGTCCCTGCTGTCAGCCTGGTGCTCATGCCGGGCCCTGGGGGACTGGGCACCCTCACACCCTCATGGAGCAGGGCTAGCTTCCCAGTAGGGTCTGTGAGCCTCTGGAATGTGAGGCCCAAGCCAGCATTCAGGAAGTGCTCTTCCACGTGCCTTGGGCACATTCTTCAGACTTAAAAGGATATTGCATCTTTCAGGAGCCCTGGATGGCATCCCCAGAGACAGACAGTGGCTTTGTGGGCTCAGAAACCAGCAGAGTATCACCCATCACACAGATCCCAGAGCACCGACTCTCCCACATCAGGTATGCTGGGAACTCCCACCTCTGTCCCATCAGTGTCCGCACACCTGGGATCATCTGGGAACCAAAGACCTGTAATGCTCTGCATACGGGCTCATAGCCTGAGCAGTCACAGACCTCTGTTTTGGGCTAGGCCTCACTGCTGGTCACTGTCCCATTTTATTGATACAGGGGAAGAGAGGCTCAGAGAGAGGAAGTGACTCGCCTAGTATCACTCAACCAATTAGTGACAGGCCAGGAAATAAATATTGGTTGAACAAATGATTGAACGGGTGAATGAATGAAGACTATAGGGAGGGTTGTGTGAATTGAACAGAAGGCAAGGACAAAGGACAGGCATGGTGGCTCTGAGAGAAAAAAGCCGGGCAGTAACACAAAGGGAGGGAGAGGGTGGGGGGACCCAGGTGAAGGGTGACATGCTGGAAGCACCATGTAGAGTGGTGGCCTCCAAAGCCAGGTGCCTGCAAGGAAGGGCTAGAAACTCTGTTTCTCTTTATGTTTCCAAAAAAATAAATTGCACTTTATTATTTTGCATATTGTTGTTGTTGTTGTTGTTTGCCGTCGATTCAAACCTGACTCATAGCGACCCCTCCTTGGGTTTCCGAGGCAGTATCACTACGGAAGTAGGATTGCCCAACCTTCCTTCCGAGGAGTGGCTGGTGGGTTTGAACCGCCAGCCGTCTGGTTAGCAGGCAAGTGTCTTAGCCACTATGCTACCAGAGCTCCCATTTTGCATATATGCTTGGTAAATATAAGCTATGCAATTTGTAAACAAATGTGTGCATCCTGGGGGTGCAGTCTCAGGTATAAGCCGTTTTCTGGGGACACAAAGTCCCAAAGGCTGGAGGGACTTGGAGGACGTGGTCTGAGGGCTTCTGTCTGTGTGACCTCAGCATGTCTCTCCCTCCATGGTTCCTCAGCACCCTGGGGACATCAGGCCAGCCCTTCCCTGCATCCGTGCCCCAGGATGGAGCCTCCCACTCCAAGGCCAGGGGTCCTCTGGTCCCCAGAACAGCTGCTGAGCCCAGCACACCTAGGAGCCGAGCTCAGAGGTACCTCTCCAGCCCTGGCAATCCTCTCCAGCAGAGGGCACCGAGCTCTCACCCAGAACGAGCTCTGGTGACAAAGATGGGTGAGTAGACAAAACTGGATGGGCTAGGCTTAAGGGTGGCCTGACCACATGGATTAAAAAAAGCAAAAACCAACACAGAAAAAACCCTGTGTTACCCCTCAGGATACCAAATAGACAGGTCAATTGTAGGCACATTTGAGCTTTCAGCTGCTGACGAGTCAGCCCTTGAGTCTTGGTGTCCCCCGTGTACACGAGAGCAGACTGCTCTGGTCCATGGGGTTTTCACCGACTGATTTTTGAAAGTAGATTGTCAGGCCTTTCCTCCTGGTCTTAGTCTGGAATCTCCACTGAAACCTGTTCAGCATCGTGATAGTCTCCACTGACAGGTGGGCAGGGTGGCTGTGTGGGAGGGGCATTGGCCAGGAATTGAACCCAGGTCTACCGCATGGAAGGCAAAAATTCTGCCACTGAACCACCACTGCCTCTGAAATTACAGGTAAAAACACAAAACAAACTCACTGTCATCGGGTCAGATTTCACTCATAGGGTAGACAAAAGGAGAAGAAAAGAAAAGAAAAAAATCTGCCCAAAACTGTCATGGCTGACATTTTGGTATAAAATCCCTGAGCTGTTTTCTATGCAGATGACCTGTGTGCGTATGAGGAAATGTATGTGAACTTTTATTGAAACAAAACAAACAGACAGAAAAGAACATAAGTGGATGGACTTTCATGAGGTAGACACAGTCAGACCATGAGTGTGGTTCCTGGAAGCCCAGAGCCCTCACCAGCTCCTGCTGGTCCCTCCCACCTTCCTAAATGCAGCCCCTGTTCTGACTTCAAACACTGCACGTTGGCTTTGCCTCTCTTTAAGGTTCATCAGTAAGAACAAAATTCTTCGTAATTAAACCTTCATTTTGAGATCATTGTACATATCTCCGTTAAGAGATATTAAGAAATAATACACAGGGATTCCAAATTGTCCCAGTTTCCCCCAATGATAACATCTTGCAAAGCTTCAGAACAGTGTCACAATGTCACAACTAGGGTAATGATATTAATACCGTCAAGATGCAGAACATTTCCATCACCACAGGGACCCCCTGGGTTGCCCTTTTATAGCTTCACCCACTTCCCTCCCACCCCTGCCCCTCTCTGTAATGCTGGCAACCATTAATCTGGCCTCTCTCTCTGCCACTTTGCCATTTCAAGAATGTTATATAAATGGAATCATACAGTGTGTGACCTTTTAGGATTTTTTTTTTTCACTCAACTTGATTCTCTGGATTTGTCTAGGTTATTGCATGTACCAATAGCTCATCCCTTTATATTGATGAGTAGTCTTCCAAGTTCATTTCTTTTTAACACACAGCTTTTAATGTTTGATCACTGACCCCTTTGAGAGACTAAATTTATGAGCACTCTCCCCAGAAGCACACACACATGGCAAGATATAAACCACACGCATGCAGGAGGCATGGCTGCCATTTCAGAGGGACGTGGAGGCCCAAGCCAGTCCCAGAACTCATAGTGAGGTGTATGACAGAGTCTGGGAGAGCCCAAGTGAGTGGGTGATTGTCTCTTTGTAGAAGTGACTGTCTTGAAGACTTGGATCTGATGCTATACTGGTGAATGGTAGGAGGTGTTCTAGTTAGGAGTAGGCCCAGCTTAGCACCCAAAGCCCCCAACAAAATACACATCTCCTGGTTCTGAGGCAGTGGGTCACTGAGATTCACTTGTGACCTCAGCTGGGCACCATTCCTGTCCCATCATTCTACCCATACAACTTTGGACTTCAGGATCCTCCCTGTCATAATCTAACTTTGGTTTCTGTCTCCCTAGCTGCCCCTTCCTCAGAGTTCAAGGGGCGAAAACGGATTTCTGAACAGTGCCCCCGCAGCAGGGCACTGAGCCCGTCTCCCACCCCAGCCCCTACAGCTGCCCCACCGACACACAGACCCACAGAAACCACTTCCAGCCTCCTCCTCACCAGGACGGGGCGAGAGTAAGTTGCATACTTAGGGACCACAGATTCCCGTAATCACACAGATGGGGAATGATGCATTTCAGAAGAGAGATTTAGGCAGCTGGGCCCACAGGACTTGGTAGTTGATTAACTTTGGGGGTGTTCAGGGAAACAGAAGAGTCTAGAATGACTCGGATTTCTGGCTGGCCAGTGGGATGTTGATGCCACGTGAGGAGATGGGAAACTCAGGAGGGGGTGTAAGTTTGCATGAATTTTAAGTGCCAGCTGGCACTCAGTAACTAAAAACTTAAGTCAGGGAGACTGAGATCGTGTTGAAAAAAACAACCCTGAGAGGGAAGTGAGACCTACCAGACCTACCGTGGGCCTTCCAAGCCCCAGGTCTCATAAACCTGCCTTTCACAGCCTGCACCTCCAGGGGGAGCTAGAGCTGCTCTCTGGTCCAGCAGGGAGCCTCAGCTCTGCCTTCCAGGGCGTTAACTAGTAATGTGAGTTCTTTCTCCGCCCCCTACCCTCATGGTTTACCTTGGAAACCCCAACAGAGTCTCCCTGGGAATTTCCAGGGGAACGGACTGCCCTTGGATGCAGAGCGTGCTGGGGCATAGCTTGAGAGAGTTGTCTCCCCTCTCTGGGACGTTCAGCTGAGAGCTGATGTTTGCTGGAGGTGGCACCATGCTACACTCTTCCTTGAGTCCAGGGACTGCCAGGCAAGAACTAACCCTAAGGGGAACCCCCCATCTGGAGCTGGCCCAAGGAGTAGATGTAGAGCCTGCACTGGCCCAGAGGACAGCCAAGCTGAGCCCATTCTTTTAGCTTTCAGGGTGCAGGCGTTTTGTGTGTGAGGAGGGTCTGGGTGGAGTTGTCTGCACACAGTCCCAGCAATGCCCATAGAATGAGGCTCTAGACATTCAAGGACTGAAGGGAGAAAATCCAAACAGTATTTGCCAGCTAGATGCAAAATAGGCTGAGCTGGGTATGGTGGCTTTGCAGGAATTATAGCAGCCTGCATTTCCCAGCCTGACCTCACTCAGCTCTCCCAGTCCCATCTGCGTCTGGGGTCTCCTTGTCCTCTCTTCATGCCCAGCCCATTACTCTGCTCCCTCTTGAAGCCTGGCACCCAGCTCAGTAACTTTTCCTGGCACCTTAAGATGGGGAAGACCTACTTCCTGCCAGCCAGTGGCTCTCTGTGGATAGGACAACCCATAAACAAGCACCTTCTGCCAGGAGTGGAGAGATGGGCTTGGACAACCCTAGGGAATGTCTTGGGGGAAGAGGCTGAGCAAGAGCGGGAAGGAGCAAGGCCTGGGTGGATGCTTAAGACTTCTGCTGAAAGAGGAAGAGGAAGCAGGACAGCCCAGGGAATGAGGAAGGTCAGAGTTCACGTTGGAAAGTGGAGCTTTAGCTAACGCCCTGGGGACCCTGCATCCTCATCTTCATCCTGAGCACTCACTGCTGTGTCCTAGCAGCTACTTGGAGCCCCTGCATGTTAGTGTGTGTGAACCTCAAAGGAAGGGTCTGTCCTGCTCAGCAAGTGAGCAGCAACGTGAACTCAGAGAGGTGTCTAGGGGAGGGGCCTGACAGATGGATATGCAGGGAAGGTCTGGGGTCATTTGACAGCAGAGGTGCAGCCTTTGCCTGCTGCAGAGAGGAGGGGCTGCTGGGTCCAGGCAGCACCCAGGGGGTCACTGCAGCCCCGTTCACTGTGCATCTGTTCCTTGTGTCTGTCTCCACCCCCACCCCAGCCAGGCCATCCGCGAGCTGCAAGAAGAAGTGTCCCAACTCCGCTTGCAGCTAGAGGACAGCCTACACCGGCCATCTGAGGGCAGCCCGACACGCCCTGAGTCCAACCGCCCTGCTCGGACCCGGGACCGGCCAGCTGATTCCTTGGTCACCTGGGGCTCCCACTATGGCAGGTGGGTGATCCCAAAAGTCTTGTCCCTGGACTTTGGTGGCAGCCGCAGAAGACTAACCATGGGGCTAGTCTCGGACTCTGCCCAGACATGTGGACTCAGACACTGCCATGCCCACTCCATTCACTCATTCATTCATTCATTCATGCTTATGGTTTTTATTGTGTAATATCTGATGCCTAAAAGAATATGTGAGCACTTATGTTAATGATAAAGCACACTGCAGTGAATAGTTCAGCTGAAGAGCTTGAACATTTCCGGGTATCAACACTTTTCCCCACTCACTCAGTCCTCATTCATCGATAACAATGGCTTATAAAATCAGCTAACATTTTCAAGTGTTTTCTATGGGAAGGAACTATGGGAGGGTTTTATGGACATCGTCTCATCAGTCCTCTCAGCACACCTCTAAGGTAATTCCTCTCATTATCCCCATTTAATACATGAGGAAGCTGAGCATCCTAGAGGCTCAGAGCCATTTTCTGTGAATCTGACCCCTGAGTCTTTGCTCTGGACTTCTGTTCTCTCCTCCTCCCATGACATTAGCAGTATCTCTGCAGGTTGCCTGCTTGCTGATCATCTTGAAAGGCTATGGAAGCGTATCATGCCAGTGACATTGTCTTTCTTTCCCTTTTGCTAGTAAATCCACAGAGAGGTTGTCTGCTGAGCCTGGAGGTGCAGAGCAAGCCATCCTCACAGGGAGGCGGAGAGCCAGGTCCTCCTCGGTGCCTCGGGCGGTGCCCCAGCTGTCCCTGAGTAAGTGAGCACCTGCCACACCTGGTTTCTGGAGACCACAGTCTGGGCATGTTGGCTCAGTGGTCAGGGCCCATAGCAACCTCCTTAGAGGAAACTTGGAGAGGGTTGTCTCTGAGTTTTTTAGGCAATTGTAATAATAGCCACTATGTACTGCACATCTGCTGTGTGCTAGCTGCCTGCTGAGGGCTTTGTAGACATCATCTCCTCAGCTTCCCTGCAGGGTGGGTTGTATCACGCACCTGCTGCAGAAAAGGACACTGAGCCCACAAAGCTCAGAGGACTTGCCTGAAGTCCTGCAGCGGGTGGTTAGGAGCCTGACTGGAGTCAGTGACTGGGGTTTACCCCCAGTTCTACCCCATCTTGACCAAGTGACCTTGGCCAGGCTGTTTACCTGCTTTGAGCAGTTAAAGATCCCATCAACAGTGCAGTAATAAGAGCATCTGCCTCATGGAGTTGCTGTGCAGATGTATGACACAGCACATGCAAAGTGTCTAGACCAGCACGCAGCTCAAAGTCAGTGTTCCCTGTGTCAGCCATTCTCACTGGGGACGATTCTGGGATTAAAACCTGGGTGTCTGCCCCAGAGCCTCCCTCAGCTGAGTGCCCCCACACCCCTGCCCTCTCTGATCCCCTCTGTTTCCCTTCCAGCCTCTGAATCTGAGCCAAACTCCCCCCGGCTCTTCTCTGAGAAGCGCAGGACTCCCGAGGACAATCCACAGGCAGCTCAGGACAGAATGAGAGGAGGGGGCAGTGCTGGACGGCCAGACAGGGTCACCTTCTGGGGCCACTACACAGGTAGGCCGGAGGGAGGGCTGGCGCAGGTGCCATCCCTGGTGCCTCTTCTGTCATGAGCAACCTTTTCCATTTACCCTTTGGGCCATCCCAATATTCTCAATTATTTCTGTGTTCTGGGATATGAAAAACATCACGGAGCTTTACCTCCATGAACCTCAGTGTGTTTGTTCATGCCGTGAACAGTTCCTGTCCCTTCCTCTTCCCAGGGCCCATGTTCCATTTGGGGGAAGCAGGGCAGCCTACCTCGCAGATATGGCCCAGTTCTCCCAACAAGCCCATGAAATCGGCACTATGGTCTGGACCCATGTTACAGCCACTCCAAGCACAGGAGAAAATGCCAAGAGTGTACACACTGGCTCCAAGCTGAGCCTTCAAATTAAATCAGCAAGCCCCGGGGTCTGGAGGAGTGGGGTTCCTGTCCATCATGACTTATCATTTCTTGCAGGCCTACCCTCAGATTCCAATCCAGCTTGAATGCTGCAGCATGTCAGGAAGTAGGCAGCTGCACAGGATCTAAGATGGGACAGAGCAGGAGGCAGAGAGAGCCTACAATAAACAAAGAGATGTGTGTGTTTATATGTGTGTGTGTGCATGTGTGTACCTATACGTGTGCCTATACGACGTGTATGTGAGTGTACGTATGAGGCTATTACACCCATACAGAGGAAGAGGTGAGAGCATTATACCAAAACCTGCCCAATTCTGCGTCTGATGGTGACCGTTCTGTCTTTCCCCAGGCCAGGAGTACCATGTCCTGTCCCCCAAGACTGTCCAGAGAGGCAGGGGCAGAGTTTCCTGTCCCCACTGCTGGTCCATTAGGACCCAGGACCCAGGTGAGGAATGGTACCTGGAGAAGCAGCCAGGGCTGCAGATTCGTGTTCTCGCGGAGGGCTCTGTCAGTCCAGACATGGGGCCTGTCCTGAGCTCAGTGACAGGCACGGACCAGGGACTGGGATTTTTTTCTGAGTTTCTCAGCCCTGCCAGGTGTCCTGCCATCACACCTGTTGCTCCAGGTGCTGCTGCCTAAAGCCACCCTTCTTGACCTTGACATGGAGGAACCATGGACTTGACTTAGGAAGTTCCTGAAGGGTCTTGATAGAGGGGCCACCAGGCAGTAGGGGGCCTGGCAGCAGTGATTATGTCTTATAGTCCTCCCTTCCCCCAACTCCTCACCCACTTCCCCCCAAATCCAACAAGGGGGAGTACTGGGGAGAATGAACAGTGGCCTGAGAATCTGGACACCCAAGTTTTCATCCCATTTCTGCCAGTGATTTGCTGTGTGACTTTAGTCAATTTCCTTAACTTCTCTGGGCCTCAGGCTCCACATAGCTAATGAAAAGGTTGAAGGAGATGATCTCTTAGGCCCTTTCCAGAAATGACAATGATGATGGAGTTGCCATTTGTTAAGCTCTGACTGTGTTCAGGGCACATGCTAAGGATGTTAGATACATTAAGCCTCACAACTCCATGAAATGGCTACAAGTGTTGTTTACATTATGGGTAAGGACCTTGGGCTCTGAGAGGTTAACTAACTTGCCCAAAGGTACACAGCTTGCAAGTGGCAGAGCTAGATTTTGAACCCAGGTCTTTGTTACTCCAGAGTCACAGCTCTGTGCCACTGTGCCTGCCTTCTGCCTTCTAACAAGCCTCCCTGCTCATTCATTTATCTCTTCATTCGTTTTTTTAAACTCAACAACATATTCCATACCTGCCTATACTGGGCTTTAGGCCCTGCCCCAGTGAACTCTCTTCCAAGCAGACAACAAAACAGTGGCCAGAGCTGGGGTGGTGCTGGGCGGGTGGGAAGGCTTCCTGGAGGGGGTGATGACAGCCGAACCTGGAGGAGAAGCCAACCAACCCTGGAACGCACTCAGACAAGGTACTGGGGGTTGGGGTGGGAGAGAACAACGGTGCCCACTGCTCCGTCCCCTCCCCTCCCCTACTTCTCAGGCGGCTGTCCTGGGCCACTCCCGCAGGGAGAGCAGCGCTGTCTCTGTGGTGGGATGGCCACAGGTACAGGGGTCTGTAGTCGAGAGAGAATGTACTTGTCATCAGACGAAGGACGGCCACCCCCAGTTCTGAGGCCTCAGCCAATTACTCGACCTCTCGCGGCATCAGCTTCCCCGTCTGCAAAATGGGAGAGCGATGGCAGTGGCTAGCTCATGGCTTGCTGGATTTGATAAAATGATGCATGGAAGTCCTTAGCAGAGGGCCTGGCACAGGAGACACTTACGTCACTGCCAAGGTTGCTAGCGTAGCCGCGGTCACCCACATGGAGGCCCTTGTCTCCTCCGCAGGGGTCTGTGAGGAAAACTCCCAGCGCCCAGGCCCCAGGGCCTCACTGTTTAGATGCAGTCTTCTCCTGACACCCCTTCCTCCTCCCAGGCCGCGCTGCCACCAAGGACCCACCGGGGCCGTCTCCGACCGATACTCCCCGGTGCCCCGTGTGTCATCAAGTTGTGCCCCCCACGGAGAACGATGGCCCAGACACAGCCACCTCTGGTAGGCATCAATGGTTTCTTTGTTCTCTCAGCAGACCCTCAGCTCTTCAGCAGGGCCTGGGGTCTGGGCAGATTGAGGCGGGGGGTCTGCTCTCCCAGTTTGAACAAATTGGGCAGGTGATTTGTTCCCCATGTGGCCAGCCCAACACCCAGCTCTGGCAGGGGAGGGGCTGGGCACATTCCCTGCTCTCAGCTAGATCTTCCCATGTGGTCAGACAGCATCTTTGTGCTGTTCCCTCCCTGACAGGAGCAGAAAAGACCACCACAAAGAGAGACGCACCTTCCAATTCCAGCCCCAGGCAGAAGAGCAAGCCACCGGCAGAGTCGCCCCAGCGCCCACCCGCGGGGCTGTGGTACCTGGCAGCCCTGCCTCCAGCACCGGCCCCTGCAGCCTTTGCCTATGTGTCCTCAGTGCCCGTTGTGCCTTACTCACCAGCCACTGTGTAAGAACCTGTGTTTCCACCTTCCCTGCCCCTTTGTGTTTGGCAGTCAGACCGGTGTCAGGGCAGCTGAGACCTCCTGTGTCTCACCTCACCAGGGTAATACACAGTACAGGCCACCTGCCACTCATGTGGTCACTCAGCAGACCCTGAGCGCTCCCTTAGTACCAGGGATTGCGCTAGGCCTGGGGACAGAGCAGTGTCACAGACTGGCAGAGGGCCCTGCCCTCTTGGAGTGTGCAGCCTTGTGGGCGTCTAGAACCCTCACCATCTTCCCTTTCTTGGTGAGTCTTTTCTGCAGCCAAGTAATGAGCACTTCCAACATAAAAAAGGACTTTATTTTTTAGAACAGTGTTAGATTTACAGAGAAACTGAACAGATAGGACAGAAAGCTCCAGTGTCCACCCTCCCTAACCCCCCCTTTATTAACCTCCTCTATTAGTATCGCACTGAAGGGAGGCTGGGCAATCTATTTCCATAGGGATACTGCCTCGGAAACCCAAGGAGGGTCACTGTGAGTGGGTTCGACTTCACGGCAGTGAGTTTGGTTTGGTTTTTTTATTAGTATCGTATGTGTGTTATAAGTCATGAGGCAACATTGATACTATTAACTAAAGCCATAGTTTATTCAGGTTTCCTTATTACCCGCCGACTCTGACTTGTGGAGACCCCATGTGTATCAGAGAGAACCATGCCATCATGTTTTCTCTCATTTTTCAGAAATAATTCACCAGGCCTTTTCTCTGGGGCACCTCTGGGTGCCTCCGATCTCGGTGAGCAGGAAGGGTATTAACAGTGTGCGACACCCAGGAACTCCAGGTTCCCTTCATTTGCACCTAGAACCTGGAACTTTTTTGTTCCAGGATCCCATCCAGGTACCACAGTCCCTTTGATTGGCTCCTGAAGGCTTCCCTTGGCTATGGCAGTTTCTCAGACTTTCCTTTCCATGGATAACCTTGACACTTCTGAGGCACACTGGTCAGGTAGACTATGGAGCTCTGGAGCCATTGTGATTAAAGCACTGGGCTGCTAATCGAAAAGTCTGTGGTCCGAACCCACCAGCCACTCCATGGGCAAAAGATGCAGTAGTCTGCTTTCTGGAAAGATTTCCAGCCTTGTAAATCCTGTGGGGGCAGTTCTCTGTCCTGTGGGTTGCTGGGAGATGGAGTCTTCTCAGTGACAGTGGATGGGTCAGGGTCACTGGACTGGATGACCGTGAGAGTTTTGAGGAGCACGGTCAGCTATGCTGTAGGGCAAGCACAGAATCTTCTACACGGATTTTGGCCCTAAAATCAGTTGAGACAGAGATGACAGCAGTGGAGGCAGGAGTGGTTTGGGATTTAGAGTTAGACAGACCTGTGTCCCAGTCCTGTCTGCCTCTTATTAGCCAAATGGCCTTGGCAAAGCCACTTCTCTGAGCCTCAGTTTCCCCATCTGTTAAATGGGATCAAAGTCTCAGTCATGTACCATTGTGTGATGATTAAAATGGGCACACAGCAAGAACAAAAGGAGACGTTTGGGGTTGGAATAAAGTGTAGCCATGCTGTGTGAGTGGTAGCTCTGTTATCACAACTAAGGTTTCTGTTGTTCGCTGATATCATTAATAAGAAAAAATCGAGTACAAGTAGGTTCAGTAGGACAGGATTGCCTAGGAAAAAGAAGGCTGGGCACTGGATTCAGAGACCTGCCTTTTTGTGCTGACTACCACCAGCCAGTTCTCTGCCTCGGTTTGCCCCACTATAAAATTGGTCCATTGGGACTGGTTTCTTCAGTGGCCCTCTGTCAGCAAGGGCCAGAGTCACTGTCAGGACTGGAGTCTGGTGGGAACAGAGGGCCTCTGCTAGGACTCAGCCTCACAGTGTGGTTCCTTGCTGCCTTTCAGCTGGGTCCTGGCCGGTCTTTAATAAGGAAACTTCCACTCCAGCAGTGAGAGGTTCCAGGTAAGCGGGTAGAATCTTCCAACAGGAAAGTTTTTTCCTGGAATTTCCCGTGGTCTTGGTGCCCAGGATAACACTCTACATGGCCACAGAAGCTCTACCTATAGGCAGAACTAGCTAGTTGCTATCCCTACGTCTGGATGGCACATGGGAAAGGGGAAGTCCCTGGGTGTTGGCACTCAACCGTCCTGGCCAGTGGTAGCCTATAACCTTGGGCGGCTCACTTTGCTCCTCAGTGCCTGTTTCTTCCTTTGTGAAATGGGCTGCGGTGAGACTTAGATGAACTACTGCACGGAAAGCTGTCATACAGAGAAAGTGCCTAATAAACCACAGGTCTTGCAGTGCGCCTGCCCAGCAACAGAACTGAGCATGCTCAGTGGCTGAGGCTGTTTGGAAAGGTGAGTGGGCCTTTGCTGCCACCTGCTGATCAGCTGCGCTATAGCCCTTGCACCCAAGGCTTTCTAACCTGGAGTGGTATTCTTTTTTTTTTTAATTGTGATTTGGGTGAAGATTTACAGAGCAAATTCACTTTCCATACAGCAGTTCACATACGCTTTGTCTCATGACATTGACCACACTTTACCACAATGCAACAGCTCCCCTCCCACTTCCTCCCTATTAGTTACCTCTTCCCTGTGTCCATCCTGGAGTGGTACTCTTGCAGCTTCTTGGGGGCATGTGGAAACCCCGAAGTTAGTGAGATAATCCCTTGGAATGGAATGTAGGTTGCTTTAAATTGGATTCAAGAAGCCTGTTCATTGGATTCTGGTGGTATTTATCAGCTTCATGCTGATTCTCATTGTCTGTTAAGAGATGCTGGCATGAGTCTGGCAGGTCTGGGCATGAGTCTCACTGCTGCTCCATCCGGGCTCTCTGACCCTGGCTTTTGTAGCTAACACTTAGAGAGAACTTCCTGTCTCCACGCAGGGTACAAATCTTTTTACTGGAAATTTTCCATTTCATCTACCCTAGAAGAAGCCCTAGTAGCTCAATGGTTAAGCACTCAGCTATTAACCAAAAGGTTGGCAGGCCGAACCTACCCAGTGACTCCGTGAAGAAAGATCTGAAATCCCTATGGGCAGTGCTGCTCTGTCACTTGGGAGCACTATGGCTCAGAATCCACTCGACGGCATCAACGACAGCACAGCCCTTTTAGACGGGGATACGGAGGCCTAGAGAGATGGAAGGGCTTATTCAGGCCCACAGAGCAGCCAGGGGCTGGGTCAGGACTTGGGCGCAGGCCTCGAGGGCCTGAGTGTTAAGGCCAGCGTGCTGTGTTTCCTCGAGCATCACCTGGCTCCTCCAAGCTTCACTTTCCTCATCTGTGAAATAAGGACAATGATGCCAACTGAAGAAATGAATGTATTTCAGAGACTGCTCGTGGGTTTGGAGGATGAGGATGCCAACACTGGGCAAGGCACGGTGCTTAACCCTTGGAGGAACTGCCAGCCTGTTTTCCAAGCCGGCTGCATCATTTCAGCCCCCACCAGCAAGGTCTAAGGGTTCTGAGTTCTCCATATTCTTGCCTGCACTTATATTATCTATTTATTTTAGTCAAGTAGTGGGTATGAAGTATGTGAAGTGGCATCTCATTGTGGTCTTGATTTACATTTCCCTAATGACTAATGAGGGAGCTCTGGTAGTGTAGTGCCTAAGGCACTTGACTGCTAACCAGAAGGCTGGAGGTTCAAACCCACCAGCCACTCCTCAGAAGGAAGGTTGGCCAATCTACTTCCGTAGTGATACCGCTTTGGAAACCCAAGGAGGGGTTGCTAGGAGTTGGGTCCGACTCAACGGCACACAACAACGACTAATGAAAGGTGCCATGGTGGCATAGTGGTTAAGAACTCAGCTGCTAACCTGAAGGTTGGTGGTTCAAACCCATCAGCTGAGCTTTGAGAGAAAGATATAGTAGTCGGCTTCTATAAAGATTATAGCTTTGAAAACTCTGTGAGGCAGTTCTACTCTGTCACATGGGATCCCTGTGAATTAGACCCAACTTGACAGCAGTGGGTTTGGGAATGACTAAAGAGTTCCTGAGTGGAACAAAATGGTGAAAGTGCTCAACTGCTGACCAAAAGGTTGGAGGTTTGAGTCCCCCCAGAGATGTCTCAGAAGAAAGGCCCAGTGACCTACTTCTGAAAACCCACCACTGACAGCCCTGTGGAGCACAGTCTACTTACTGTGGCCCCCCTGGGGTCATACGGAGTCAGAGCTGACTTGAGTGCAGCTTGTCTTATGGACTAATGATGTGGGTCATCTCTTCATGTGTTTACTGGTCATTTGTGTGTCTTCTTTGGAGGAATGTCCAATCCGATCCTAGCAGAGCCCTTTCACACACTGTACACAATTCAAATTAGAAAGTGAAGGCTCAGGAATAAAACCAGTTTGCTGAGCCCCACGGTGGCCAGGAGGAGGCCAGTGCATGACTTGGGCCACGTGGGCCCAAGCTCCTGCCTGCTTTTTCGGGCTCATGCTCCTTTAGCTCCTACTGCCTTTACTCCACAGCACAGAGGTTTCTTTGACCCTAAATGCGCTGCCTTGGATCAATGTAGGAGTCACTTTTGGGGGCAACCCGTGCTCACGTCATGGCCTCTCCAGCCCATCTCCCCCAGCACTTTAAAACTGCACCCACATTCCTGCAGGATCAGGCTGGGAAGGATGCCCTTCCCCTACTGCCCCAATGAGCAGAACCACACCCTCCCTCAGCTACAGAATCCTAACCATGCGTCCAGTGCTCTGTGCTTGACAAAGAGGACGCGATAAGTATTATCTTTCCAACAAGGGGGGGTTCTTGCAGCAGATCCTGGGGTGATCCAGGTCTCCCTGACATCCCAGCTTTCAACTCAGATATTCTCAGAAGATGGAGTCCATGTTTCTTTATTCACCATTGTAGCCCAAGGGCCGAGCACACTGGCAGGTGCATAGTAGCTGGCCAATAAGTTTTGTTAAACTGACAGGTGGATGGAAGCAAGGATTCTCAGGTACCCCACTCTGGGTCAGTGTCTCATTTATCTTGCTTCATCCTTCCCTCAGGTCCCTGGGGGTGGGTCCTTATTACTGCCATTTTTGTTGCTAGCTGCCATCAACTTAGCCCCAAGTCATGGCGACCCTGTGGGGACACTGCCTGAGTCCGGTGTCATCCCCATGATCAGGTGCAATCAGAATGTTGCAGTCCTTGGGGGTCTCGTTGTCTCGTTTTCAGAAGTAGATTGACAGTCCTTTCCTCTTACTGGGTCTTAGTCTGGAAGCTCCA